ACTTTTCCATTCCTTTTCTATAACTTAATCCTTTCTCTCTACTTTTTAAAAACTACTTTACCTGAAGGCTTTAAATGAAGATTTTTAAATCAAGCTTGTCAGTAGTTAATAAAAACAGGCCAGTATTAAATTCCTAGAACTATTTGAGCATTATTCAGTTTAAAGTTATAATTTATTACCTTTTATGTGTATATTTTTAAAATTTTCTCTTTCAAACAGTTTTCTATCACTGGTGAATGTTTCTTTGGGAGAATGTATATGTAGTTACACAAATATGATTAAGAAAACAAACTAAAAATACAAAGCTTTGAACTTCTTGGCAACTGATAACAGTGTGTACAATGAATACATGTACAGGTTAAGTCTTTAAAAAGATAATTACCCTCATCTTTAAGTCTCCTCTTTCCAGCTCTTCATATTTTTCCTAATTTTGCACTTGATTGTCAGCAGTTCCAGCCACTGAGCTGATAAATTCCATTTCCTCCTTCCCCTGTTCTCCCTCTACTGGAATACTGATGTATGTATGACAGTCTAAGATACGGTATTTCACTACTGGGAGCACAATTAAGAATGGGCCTTGCCTGCCATACCCCATATGCAGAAGAGAGCCCTGGCTCTGTCTGGAGAAGAAAGAAGGAAAGAGAGAAGTGTGGTCAGAGGAGGGAGAGGGGATGCAAACAGGCTCAGCCAATTTTAGGACCAAATCAGAAATCAAAGCCAATACATCTAATTCAGTGGATCCGAGTTTCTTGTTACTAAAATGAAGGCAGTCCTTTGGGGTTGATAGTGGAGAATCTCTGTTACCAACCCTGTAATTTGCACTGATAACTATACTGTAGTTGCTGGTTTTCAAGTTTATTACAATGTTGTATTGGGATCAGTGGTTTTTTCTAAATAAAAAGGCTGGTTGTGTGGGGTCTTGCATCTTACAAAATTTTAGGAAATTTTTAGCCATTTTACATCAAACTGGAATTAAAAACTGGAAAGATCAACCTTTCTATTCACTTAGTGATGTCTTTGGTGTTTGAACAAAGCATTTACAGTGAATCTGTTGTGCAAATAATCATTCTTGTTAAGAGAGACCTTGTTACCCTTGGCACCTCCTGGGAACATCCCTAAATTTGGATGGTGAAGTAAGGCCATATTTTAAATACATCCCTGGAAGGGATGAAATGCTCAGAACTTGGCAGCGTTTCACTTCTGACGGCCTAGCTCTTAAGCTACAAACAATCTAATTGGTGGTTACAGCTTTTTCCATAAGAGCATTTTGATGAATTAAATGTTTCTCCTACTTCTTACTCTTCTCATGTCCTCAGCGAAATTACTATATTGTGTTCACCTTGTGCCTAGCGGAGTGCCTGGTGTGTGGTAGGCAATCAGGAACCATTTGAAAGCTTGAGTCCTCATTACTCAAACCTTATGATATATACCACTATCTGTGCTGACAGATCCCGAAGGTCCTTCGAGCTACAAAACATCAGAAGTGTACTGATAGGAGAACCAGTTGATCGTATGCAAGGCACACTGCTATATTAAAATAATTACCTTACATTAATGTAAATGGTATTGGGTCATTTTCTTTTTATATTTTTGAGTACAGAGGAGGGGTATTTAGGCAAGAAGCCATCAGGTTCTTTATTATGGCCTGGTAGGTAAAACCACATGTTTGAATTTCTGTTGTACTCTTGTTTATAGACAGTGCCCTTTGTATAAGGAGCACTTTTTAAATGCTGCCCAAATTTGAGTATTGGAGCACTGTACTTGCTTGGCTAGCAGTTTTGGCTTTTGTTGGTGACTCATTCGAACCTTTAGGAAACCCAAACCAATTATGGATATCAGAAACTGCCTGATCTAGAAGGAGTTAGGACTTATGGATGAAGAGGGTGTGGTAAAATGTATTAGCTGTAACAGAAAAGATTGATAGAGAGATGTCAGAAATTGCCTGCCATTCTCTTGGTCCCTACATCTTCAACTTGATGATAAATGTCTCAGATAAGAATTGATCTGAATTGCTTGGCTTGACATAGGATACTTATTTATAGTATTTATTTTGTGTTAAACATTATACCGAGTGCTTTCCATGGGTCTTTTCATGTAATCCTCAGAAGAAGCCTGGCTTTAACTCTGTTTTAAACTGTGGTGTAGATAAGTTCGGCGACTTGCTCAGGTTACACAGCTTGCAAATGGGAGAGCCAGAATATGAACCCAGAAAGAATTCATAGGGACTTACTCCAGAGCCCTCCCTCATTTTCCTTATCTGTAAATTTTAAGTAATACAACTTCTTCCTTACACAATTGTGACTATTAATTGAGACAGTGAAGTAAAGTATCAATGGCAATGCTAGTAGGTGCTCAGTAATTGATAACTGTATTTGTAATGATTTAATAACTATCAATGCTAAGAAGATATTTAGAATTTTTCATTTTACGCTCTGCTGTGCTTTCTTTACTAAACCAATCAAAAAGTTTGAAGGGATAAAAAAAGAGGTAGCAGGGATAGGGAGAGAATTGCCATATTGGCCCCCATCGGCTAGCAGTCATATCAGTGAATCTTGAAGTATTTTCACATGTAAAAAGGGGGAAATCAAGCAGTGTCCTGAGGAAGTGGGATTGTACTTCATGTTTGCCATTCTTCCCTATTTTCCTTCTCACCCTGTCCATATTCAATAGACAAGCTCCCTTTGGTATCTATATAGTTGGGTAGCCTTAAGCTTTTCTTTTTAGTGGCAACTCCAAATGCTATTAAAATTCAAATTTTCAGTTATCTTAGTGTGAAATTATAAAATTCAAAGTAATTCATAAGCTGTGTATTTTAAGCTAGGCAAAACAGAGAAGTTAGATGTTTTTATGTAATTCTAGTTTTTCAGTGATTTGGGAAGAATGAAAAATTAAAACTCTGCATGGGGGACAAGAGTTAGGAACCCTGTTGTTACCAAGGGAATTACATGCTTTACTCATGCATTTTTCTCATTGGTACTTTCTCATGGGTTAAAACTTTAGAAATTGTTCTTTATCATTTTAGTTGTTTCTTTTGGTTATTTTGTTTTTACTATTTCTTAGCTAAGGACAGGAAGCATCCATAGTTTCACTTTTTGAAAGTTAGGTTTGCATGAAATCCAGAAAAAAAATTTACATACTTATTTCTAAATCTTTTCAAAATAAATCACATATTTTTTCTAAAGCTTTAAAAGTTTGAATCTAAAATTTAAAACAACCCTTTTCAAAAGAGCCCTTTGTTGAATTTAGGTGCAATAACATTTCCTTATTTTTACTCTTCTTTAAACATTTTTATTTTTCTACAAGTTGGACTTTGTTTCTTTAGCCACCTCTGTCTCACCAGATGTGCTAGATAAAAAAAAACCACGAGTAAACTTGCTTCCTCCCTACCTAGAGAAAGCACCTGTGAGCAGGCAGCCACAATACGTGTCACAGGAGTGCTGATATCACTGCTCTGTGAAACATTATCAAAATCCTTGTTTGTCCCAGCCTCATATTTTCACATCTTCACATGCTCTTCATTAAGTAGCCTTTTACCATTTTTCCTTATCAATGAAGCAAAAGCTTTGGGCTCTCTGTATGTGGTTGGGAGAGGTGCTTAATTTAGTGAACTAAATCGGACAGAAAACAGTAAACATTTTCTAGGAATGCTGTGCATTGCCCTAAGCCCTGTGTTCCAGCCCTGACTAAGCAACGAGGGAGAGACTAATAACTCAACTTCAAAGTGAATCCGATTTTTTTTTATTATTACTTTTGGGGTTAATGAATCACTTCCAGGAGAAATAGAAGGGGAAACAGAAATTTGGGGTAGTGTCTCCCAAATCTGCCAGCGGGTTCCCCTATTCTCTCTCCTGCACTCCATCTTACACTGATTGCACGGTCTTCTCTTTGCTGGACAGAAGTTCAAGTCCCCCAGGCACACGCTGTGACCTCCAGTGGCGGCCTCGGCTGACACCCGGAACGTCACC